ATTTAGCAGTTGCTAAATAGCAGTTGCTATTTAGCAGTTGCTACCAGAGAACTCCTGCTATGGGGGGGCTATAAATTCGCATGATGTGATGTTGGTCTGGTTTGCTTGCAATTTTGTGCCAAACAATGGCTAAGCAGAGGGCCTTCTCGGTAGTGGCACCCACCCTGTGGAACGCCCTCCCACCAGATGTCAAAGAGAACAACAACGACCAGACTTTTGGAAGACATCTGAAGGCAGCCCTGTTTAGGGAAGCTTTTAATGTTTGATGCATTACTGTATTTTAATCTTTTGTGGGAAGCCGCCCAGAGTGGCTGGGGAAGCCCAGCCAGATGGGTGGGGTATAAATAATAAATTATTATTATATTATTATAAGCATGCATGCTAGAGCAAGCATGCAGGTATTCAGAGCAAAAGTTGTGGCCCCTCCAGTCCTGTTCTGCTACTCAGGGCTAAGCCATGGTTTGGCGCCATCTGAAACCAAGCTTAACATCTCAAGGCACATGATGTGGGCTTGTCCATTGATATGTTCTTTTTAGTCTGAAGTTCCCATCCTTATCAATTTTGAATGGGCAAAATCCTCGATATATGCAGATGCTCGTGTACTTTTAAATTATTTCCCCACATTATAGGGATTAGTGCAGGACAATGAAAGCTGATTTGGTGAGTTCTTATGGTCACCAGGAGACTTATATGTGGACTCTGAAAGCATAAACACTCCCTGTCTATCACACAATAGTCTCATGACCTCAATGCCCTGGCTATATTTAAACATGTTTTTATAAACATCAATTTCATACCTATCTGAACATATGGAGGAATTATGTTAATTTGAATGTTTAACTTAAGATGGATGTACTGATGGTTATTATATCCTAAGTGTGAGCTGATAAGAGGGAACTGGCTGTTTTAAATTAAAGGACTGGTGCCATGCTGTTTTTATTTGGATTATTGGAATGCTGGTGGCGCTGTGGTCTAAACCACTGAGCCTCTTGGGCTTGCCAATCAGAAGGTTGGTGGTTTGAATCCCTGCAATGGGATGAGGTCCCGTTGCTCTGTCCCAGCTTCTGCCAGCCTAGCAGTTATAAAGTATACTAGCTCAAGTAGATAAATAGGTACCACTGTGGCCGGAAGGTAAACAGGATTTCCGTGCACTCTGGCTTTCGTCACAGTGTTCTGTTGCACCAGAAGCAGTTTAGTCACACTGGCTACATGACCTGGACAAATGCTGGCTTGCTCGGTCTGAAAGCAGAGACGAGAGCACCACACCCCATAGTCAAATTTGACATATTTAACATATTTTATATATGTATATAGTTTTAATTCTATCAATGTTTAATTGCATTTTAATGATTGATATGTCAATGTTTTTAGCGGGGTTTTTTTTTAATGTGTAAGGTACCTTGAGTCCCATCAGGGAAAAAGGCAGGGTATAAATAGATAAATAATGATAATGATACTCTATATAATCATTCTTTTTTTTCTTTAATTTTAATCAGTTTATTTGTATGTCCTTCCTTTGTTAAGTTGGCAAATAAATAAATAAATAAATAAATAAATAAAATAAATAAATGATGTTTGATTTCTTTAGATAATCTGTCTGTGGCCTCACACACAATTCTGATGAAATGTTGCAAAATGACATAACAGCCAAAAATGCTAACATGAGAATAAGTGTCCAAAAATGCAAATAGGAGATTATTTATTTATCATATTTATCAGTTGCTTCTCTGCCTGAAGGCATCCTAGGGCAACGAACAACATTAAAAATCTAGAAACTCAAACCCCCACAATTGCTACAAAAATTCAAGAGATAGATTACTGAAATATTATTGCCAAGAAAGCTCTAGGGGAAGGGGAGTGGAGAATGTAGGGTTAGTAACTTTTTGATAACTAAAGTAGGAAGTCAAATAGACTAAGAGACACAAAGGAATAAAACATCCATCCATTCATCCTTGTAAAGTCAGTGAAATTTCTAAGTGAATGGAAACTGGACATTATAGCTCCACCTCAGTCTGAACACAAACTCTTCTCCTTTCAATTCCGGTCAGTGTTCCATTCAAATACATTAAAATACACAATGTTCTCTTCAGTTAGGGGCTTCTTCGTTCTCTTGTTCTTTGAGCATTTTCAACCTTTTCTCCAGCCTTTCTGTCCATTCGCTCCTGAGTCTAATTGGAAGAAAGATTTGAAAGGTTAGTATATGCAGTGCTTAGCAGAGAGAAACTCATTAGAAAATAAATACCTCATGGTACATGGCTTGAGAGCAGTACATGTGAAAAGGATCTAGGAGTCTTGGTTGACCACAAACTTGACATGAGCCAACAGTGTGACGCGGCAGCTAAAAAAGCCAATGCAATTCTGGGCTGCATCAATAGGAGCATAGCATCTAGATCAAGGGAAGTAATAGTGCCACTGTATTCTGCTCTGGTCAGACCTCACCTGGAGTACTGTGTCCAGTTCTGGGCACCACAGTTCAAGAAGGACACTGACAAACTGGAACGTGTCCAGAGGAGGGCAACCAAAATGGTCAAAGGCCTGGAAACGATACCTTATGAGGAACGGCTAAGGGAGCTGGGCATGTTTAGCCTGGAGAAGAGGAGGTTAAGGGGTGATATGATAGCCAATAATTTATTTATACCCCACCCATCTGGCTGGGTTTCCCCAGCCACTCTGGGCAGCCTCCAACAAAACACTAAAATACAATAATCTATTAAACATTAAAAGCTTCCCTAAACAGGGCTGCCTTCAGATATCTTCCAAAAGTTTGGTAGTTATTTTTCTCTTTGACATCTGGTGGGAGGGCGTTCCACAGGGCAGGCGCCACTACCAAGAAGGCCCTCTGCCTGGTTCCCTGTAACTTGGCTTCTCGCAGCGAGGGAACCAGCAGAAGGCCCTCAGCGCTGGACCTCAGTGTCCGGGCAGAATGATGCAAAGATCCCTCCACCGCCCGCCCCCCCCCCCGTTTCCCAGAGTTGCCGACCTTTTTACGATGCTGCCGGCAGCTTTGCAGGGCTGTAGGAGACGGGCAGCGGCTGGAGGGCGACTCCTCCGGTGGGAAAGAGGCAGAGGTTCCTGGTGTGGCACTGCTTCAGCGAAGCGGGCGAGGGCGGTGAGCTGATGCTGGGAGGTGCCACACCCAGCCTCTGCCTCTTCCCTGGCGCCCGTGCCGTGGTGGCCACGGCAGGCGGAGGCTCCGGGCGCGGTGCTGCTTTGGCACGGCATGGCGGAGGTGGGCGAGGGCAGTGAGCTGATGCCAGTAGGCACCGCGTCCAGCCTCCACCTCTTCCCTGGTGCCCTCTAGAATTTGGCGCCCGGGCGCCCCATGCCACTTGCCTCTATGGGCAAGATGCCCCTGTTCATTGGAGAAAAGTTGGAGGGTATGGAGTTATGTGACCTCCGAGCCAAGGAGATACAGTAAGCAACTATGCAACCTTTAAAAGACACCTGAAGGCAGACCCTCACGCTCATTGCAGACAAGTTTGGGGTGGAACGAGTGAGCTGGTCATGGCATGTGAAGCTGCTCCTATTTCTGTGCACTTTTGAGTGCTTGAATGCTTCTGGCTGAAGAATGAGCTGAGGGGATCCTGTCTGTTTGTTACATACACTGGAGTACACATTTTTGAAGTCCTGGAAGTGTCTTTAAAAGGTGTAAGTGAGAAGAGATTCCTGTCCTTTCCTTCCTGATATAGGGTGGAAGTTAGAGGCTGAAGCCCTCAGTTGTGTTTTATATTAAGCTAAGTGGTTAAGGGGCTTCCACTCCAGGGCCTAAGGCTGAAAACTGGATCATTGGGATATCCTGTACTCCAAATCATGGAGAGCCACGTGTTGCAGTGAGATCACCAAACTGCCTTCTTGTTGATGGGGCGGGCCCGTTTGGATGACCTCCTCACCTCAATGGTTGCCCCTTTGTTGCTGGGAGAAATTTTCTGTCGGTTGGGGTTTGATTGGCAACTAAGGGGCTATTTAAGGGGCTTCACGAGACGAAGTACTTTCTCTTTCGCATTGTGTAGCGGATCTCCCACCCTCCCTATAATTTAAGGTTGTGTTTATGACCTTGCTATGCCTGTCTAGGGGTCTAGTTTTTGGAGCAGGGGCCCGGTAGGAATTTTGCCACTTGGCTGATTGGCTGGTGCCATTTGGTTTTTGCCTTCCGTGTAGCAAATCGTCACAACTTTGTAAGGTTGGCGGTTGGGCATTGGTTCATTCTTTGGTGGATGGGATTATGGATTGGCTGTGCCTGCCCCTCATTTTTGTTGTTGCCGCTAGGGAATTCCGTTAAAGGAATCCAGGGGCTCGATTTGCTCTGTCCGGTCCCCTCTCAGGGATAGGGCCATGCCAGAGTTCCTGGGAGCATCTGGGGGTGAACTAAGAGGCGGAAATCCGCCTCTGTGCTCCCCCAGGATGTTTTCCCTTACTGACCTCTGGAGGTTCCAGTTGTCAGTCCTGTTCCTGCCGGTGCAGGTTCAGATAGTCGGAACCAATGCCTAAGCAACCACTCACATGCTGCAATCAATAAAGTTGTGGCCAAAATTAATGCCCAAAATCTTAAACAAATATTCTGCGTCCTGTGTGATTAATTTTGGAGGGGGTTTGGGGGTCTTCACACGCAAATCATTTTTCTGTGTGCATGCCACTGGCACTCTGTTTTTCATAGGTTTTTCCTTAAAGCAGACACAGCCAAAATATTTCTTAGTTTCAGGTAGGGAAGCGCTTGGCAACTCTGGCTGCGCACAGCTGAGCTTCTCTTTCAAATGTCAACTTTGTGAGACTCCCGTGGTCATTGGAGATGGCTAAATAGCAAATCGCAGGGCTCACTATATATATATTTAATCCCAAGTAAAACATCTGAAGTACAAATCACATACTTACCGTGCCAATGCACTTCTTTGTTTACGATCTTTCTCCGCTTCAAAATGCTGAGTCTGCTTCTCAATGGTCTTTTCCCAGAAGTCTTTCAGCTCCCCAGTCTCAGAGGCAAATACTTCATGGCGGATATACTGACTGTTCATTTTTCTGTAGACGAGAAGGACAAAAACCTCCCTCCCACCCACCAAATTAGGAGTTAACTCAGTTTTCCATCATCTAATACAGTTTGCACTGTGGCCCACTTTGCAATATAGATTTCGGGAGGCTGAATTATCTCTTTATTCATAAAGGCATAACAACTGCAGTTAACCATTCTTCATCTAGAAGCGTTTATGATAAAAATATATTTCACTTTAATACAACTGTTGCTGTTTGACCTTTGAGATCAAAACACAGGATAAAGTTATTGCTCTCACTTTAGCACATTAATAGAGACGTTTTGTGGCATCTGTACATTAAGAAAAGTAATGGCAGAGTTTCAGTGATATTTTCAAGGTATGGCAGGAAGATCAATTATTGCAGATTGCTAGGAGGCTAATTTTCTGTGATACTTACTAGTCAATGTACTTCTGGCAGTTTTCTCAGACTTCTTCCAAATCTGGAGGGAATCATCCAAATTTATATCATTTATTAAAAGGTAAATTAAAGGGGTTCCCAAGATGTACAAGCAGCTGATTACATTATTAGGGTTCCATATGATTTGACCCAGTTTTAACAGAAATATTTGATAATGTCAGACATCATATGTCTCAAAATCCTAGGCTCCAGTTTCCTACTCCATGTTCCACAATGGCTGCTGTTGGTCAAGGAAGGAACTGAAGTATCTGCTGTCAATACCAGTACCAAAATCGTAAAGTTGGAAGCACATATCCCAGCTTCTCAACATCTTTCTTAAACTGTGGCTCTAAGAACTAGACACACTATTCCAGGTGTGGTCTGAACAAGGCAGAATAGAGTGGGACTACGACTTCTCTTGATCTGGACACTATTCTTCTGTTGATGCAGCCTAGAATAGCATTAGCTTTTTTTACTGCTGGATCACACTGTTGACTCGTGTTAATCTTGTGGTCCACTAAGAACCCTAGATCCTTTTCACATGTACTACTAGCAAGCCAGGTGTCTCCAATATTATATTTGTGCAGCTGGTTCTTTCTGCCTAAGTGCAGAACCTTACACTTCTTCCTATTGAAATTCATTTTGTTAGCTTGCACCCAGTTCTCCAATCTGTTAAGGTCATTTTGAATCCCGATTCTTTCTTCTTCTACATTAGCTACCCCTCCCAGTTTGGTCATCTGCAAATTTGATGAACATCCCCTCAATTCATTCGTCCAAGTCATTTATAAAGACACTGAACAACGGCTCCCAGTATGTTTCTGAACACAATTCAAAGTGTTGCTGCTGACCTTTAAAGCTCTAAACGGCTTCAGCCCAGTATACCTGAAGGAGCGTCTCCTCCCCCATCGTTCTGCCCGGACGCTGAGGTCCAGCTCCGAGGGCCTTCTGGTGGTTCCCTCACTGCAAGAAGCCAAGTTACAGGGAACCAGGCAGAGGGCGTTCTCGGTAGTGGCGCCCGCCCTGTGGAATGCCCTCCTATCACATGTCAAAGAAATAAACAACTACCTGACATTTAGAAGACATCTGAAGGCAGCCCTGTTTAGGGAAGCTTTTAATGTTTAATAGGTTATTGTATTTTAATATTCTGTTGGAAGCTGCCCAGAGTGGCTGAGAAAACCCAGCCAGATGGGCAGGGTATTAATAATTATTATTATTATTATTATTATTATTATTATTATTATTATTATTATTTTATGGGCCCAGGACAAAAACCTGCAGCACCCCACTTGTTACTTTTATCCAGCATGCCGAGGAACCCACCCTATTACAGTTGTACCTTGGTTGTCAAACGCAATCCATTCTGGAAGTCCGTTTGATTTCCACAAACGTTTGATAACCAAGGCGTGGCTTCCGATTGGCTGCAGGAGCTTCCTACACCCAATCGGAAGCTTTGAAAGCCACGCCAGACGTTCAGCTTCCAAAGAACGTTCGCAAACTGGAGCACTTACTTCTGGGTTTGCGGCGTTCGCAAGCCAAAACGGACGCGTACCAAGGCACGACTGTATTCTGCCTAAAGATGACTGAGATGGTGCATATAGACATTCTTAGCCAATCAGTGTTCCCTTTTAATCTGTCCAAACACATATACTTCATTGCAATCCTTTATTGGGGGGCAGCGGCGGCGGGGGGGAACATTGAAACACAGAAATTGACAATTTTATTTTCATTAGATCTAACAAACCTTGTTTATGAAAAGGTTGCCTAGGTCAAAGTATTGCTGGAATAACAGAAGGCTTAGAACTGGCTTGACTAAACTATAGTTTGAAAGAGATAAAGGGGATGCCTTGGGACCAATGATCATGAAATGGGGATGGCAGCTAGCCATTCCGTGAGGAGATAAATGGTTGCTGAGTGCGCACTTGGGACCGTTTAATGGCTGCTGCTGGTTGCACCTATGGCTTCATATGAAGAAAGCATTGATTTTTCAGTTAATCACTGCAATATTTAGTTTAATTTCAAATGGGAGTGAGGCAAGTTAACATTTACCCATGATCCTGAATTGCAGAATCATGTTCTATTAAACGGCTATAATTTTCTTTAAAAGGCTTAGGTCAATGGGTTTGCCTGCTGCTTTATTTCACTTCCCTCTGGTATCTATTTCAAGGCAGGTTATATTTTATGTCAACTCAAAAATCACCTATGGGAAAGCCCATCCTGTAATAAAAGAAAAATAATATGTCAACTGGCTGGTTGGTGGCTGTGCAACCAAAGTTAGAAAATGACCTTAGGCAGTTCTTTTAAATGTTTGCTACAGGGTGTGCTTTCAGTTTGTTAATACGTGATTAGGATGGGGGTGGCTAAGTTGTGGTGTCTTCAGATGTCATTGGACTCGCATCAGCCTTACCCATGATGGCCAATGCTTAGGGATTATTTGACTTGCAGTCCAGCAATATCTGAAGAGCCACAGGCCAGCCACAGTTTGACATAAGTGGCCCATGTTCACTCCTGATAGGTCCTTCCAGTGTCTAGTAACAATATTTCCAACAGCTGAGACTAAGTGACTTATGAGTTCCTTGTCATGGGCATGTTGTCCTGGAACAGGGGTCTGCAACCTTTAAGACAAAAAGAGCCACTTGGACCCGTTTCCGAAAAAACAACAACAACTGGGAGCCGCAAAAACATTGCAACATTTAAAACAAATATAACACTGCATATATTGTTTCTTGCCTTAATGCTATATATACAGGATCGTGCAGTCAGCTGTCAATCTCAAGAAAAAAGGACAAATTAATAGCTAATTAAAATATTTAATTTACAACCAGGTAACCAGGTTAATGGGACTTTTGCTCCTGAACCTCAGTGCTCAGTGTCTGCACATCAGGGTTGTAAGACGTCACCTTCATTTTCACACAGGCTTGCAAGGTGTCATCTGTGAGGCATGATCGGTGTTTGTTTTTAATATAGTTCATGTTGGAGAAGACCTGCTCACATACATATGTGGAAGAGACCACAAGGGCCATCGAGTCCAACCCCCTGCCAAGCAGGAAACACCATCAGAGCACTCCTGAGATATGGTTGTCAAGCCTCTGCTTAAAGACCTCCAAAGTAGGAGACTCCACCACACTCCTTGGCAGCAATTCACCAAACTTTCACCTAACTTTCCCCTGCTTAAGTTTAAAAAGGGGCTTCAGGCAACTAACTCCACGTGGAATTCCACGCAACCGCGACAGCATAATCAATGCCACAAAATGCCAAACAAAATTAACCAGGGCCCCAGTGAACCATACATATAGTGATAATAAAAAGCTATTTAGGCCTTTCTCACACCCTGTTGGGTGTGGGTGCATTTTCTGCAGACCAAAAGCCAAAAGTCTAGATAGCGCGGCCCTCAGCCTCCAGCTGGCTGCCAGGCAGGTGTACCCTTGGCGACGCGCAGGTAACTTGCCGCCGCTCCTGGAAGCTCCGCTGCGCGCCACCTCCCTCCAGCCAGGTGACTCCGCCGCCCGCCGGTCCATCCATCCACCGGCCCCTTCCGCGCGCCAGCGGCTTTCTCTCCTTTTGCGCGCCCGCCACTCCCTTCCGCGCGCGGGGACTCCATTCCAGGGGCTGCCTGCAGCCGCGTACGTGAGGCAGCCTGTGCCGGGGACACCCGAGGGGAGGGGACTGGGGGAGGAGGAGGAGGAGGCGGCGGCGAGGGCGGAGGGAGTGGGCGAGCCGTGGCGGAGCTGGAAGGGGAATTTCAAAACAAGCTGCACGAGGGAAGGAGGGAGCCGAGCTGGCAGGCGAGGCGGAGCGTGCGCGGAGCTGGCAAGCCGGGGAGGGGGCGCCCGTCGGGGGCTGGTGGCGCGGGCGTGGGGATTGATGCTGGAGGGGCGCCCGAGATTATTGGGGGGGCGGAGCCCCCCCAAACGAATTTTTGAGGGGGCTCGGGCCCCCTCAGGCCCCATGGAGTCTGTGCCTATGCCTCCGCTCCTTGCCTCCGCCCCTCGCCTCCTCCCCTCGCCACCGCCCCGGAGCCGCAGCAAAGGCTTTAAAGAGCCGCATGCGGCTCTGGAGCCGCAGGTTGCCGACCCCCGTCCTGGAAGATGTTTGAAACCAAGCCTTATGAGGAACGGTTGAAGGAACTGGGTATGTCTAGCCTGGATAAGAGGAGATATGATAGCCATCTTCAAATATCTCAAGGGCTGTCACTTGGAAAATGGAGCAAGATTGTCCTCTCCTTCTGTGGAGGGTTGGATTGGAACCAATTGCTTCAAGTGATAAGAAAGGAGATTCTGACTAAACATGGGAAAGAACTTTCTGACAGTAAGAGCTGTTTGACAGTGGAACGGACTCCTTTGGGAGGTTGTGGACCAGATTTTTTTCAATGAATCTGGGGACCCTTTTAAAAATTTTTTGGAAGCTGAGTAGCAACAGGGAGTCAGTAGTGGGGATGGGCCTAAGCACACATGCATATTGTATAAAGGCTGTCCCCAGGAACCGGGGATGTCTGGTAGCCCTATTGTGGACTCTTCTTCCTTGGAGGTTTTTCGGCAGAGGTTGGATGGCCATCTGTCCTAGATGCTTTCGTTGAGACTTCTGCCTTGCAGGGGGCTGGACTAGATGACCCTAGTAGTCCCTTCCAACGCTACAATTCTATGATTCTCTATTTGCCAGATGTGGTTCGACTGGTAGAGTTGAACCGCCATGCTAGCTTTCTGGTGAATGGGTCACTGTTGCTTACTGGAAAGGAGAGGAGCAATGAAAACTCACCGGTGAAGCCAATCCAATGCTTCTGCTGCTGTGTTTTCACTGTGGCCTCTTGCCTTTGCCCCTTCCCAGTAAGCAACCCATCTGCCAGGAAGCTATTTGCTAAGAAATGGTCTTCCCAAGGTATATGGTGCATGCTTTTCCCCAAAACAAATTGCAAAGAGCCGATGACTGAATAGGGCAGCAAGGAGAATAAAACGTATCAGCGTTTCAGATGCATCTCCTTCCCCCTGTAAGTCTAGTGCGTCTCTCATCCGGGAGGAAATGGATGCTTGCCCATCTGCCCAGACTTCC